TTGATGACTAGTAAGATCCTGTTAACCGACTGGTAATATCACAATAAATGTCACATAGTAAACTATTGTTTTACGATGGTTGGCCAGCAAAGCAAAGCTGGTATCCAGATGACAAAAGGATGGTTTTACCATGATAAGTCATTAGTAAGCATTACCAGGGAGTAGCTAACGATAGTAAAGTCCTAGTTTCGTGCTAGTATCACGTGGGTTTTTGGGCATGGTATGACGACATATAGTTACCGTGTTAATACCATGGTAATTTTTACTGGCATTGGTATTCACATGGTTTTACATTCATATTAGGCCTAGTATTTGGGTCGTAAGTTAGTTTACCATAGGTAAGAGGCTGTTCAAAATATGACCACCACTCGAAAACTAACTAGGGTGGTATTTTTCTTAGTAGGCGGTACCAGGATAATACTAGCGTTAGTAGAGCTTTGGTTTCTTATTAGTTATGCTTTAGTTTCAAGGTAGTATGATGAAAAAATATTACCGTACTAAGACCATGGTATTTTGATGAGCATTGGTAGTTGCATAGTATTCCTTTGATATTGGGCCTAGTATTTGGATCGTAAACTGGTTTACCATAAGTAAAAGGCTGTTCAAAATATGACCACCACCCAAAAACTAACTAGGGTGGTATTTTTTTCTTTCAGTGTATGCTACTAACTTCAAGAGCTGACGCGTGGGCTCGATCGTCGTAGCTACGTCACGTTGCTCTCCGAGACCAGGGCGGTGTTTCACGACAGAGCGCTGCGCAAGTCGGTGCGTTGGGTTTCCATGGCCATATCAACAAACTCCACTCTGACGCTTTGCTATGACGTCATCGTAAAACGCTAGCACCCCAGCGCCAGCACCACCAGCACGCTAGCAGCATTCGCACCTAAACCTCTGTTCTCTCTGTACTTGGTTCCTTAGGACCTCTGTTCCAAACGCGATTCATCATAAGCTAACGGATCGCACGCAACGTCATTCGAGTGACGTCAAGGATATGCCTCAGCTCCCAGCGCGCTGCAGCGCGCGCAGCGTCAGGCGGTGAAACAGGGCCCTGGCTGGCATATTTACGTCTGCCCTGGCTGCGCCCGACCACTAAGCCGCCTCTTGGTCCATGGTATACTCGATGCTTGTCAAATACATGCCCCAAACAGTGTCTGCAATTTTGTGGCGCTACGTGCCACAATGTTTTCGCTATGAACGAAAATTGTGTTATTCCATCGCCGCTAAATTGTTCCAATTTCACCCTGACCTTGTACCGGTTTTTGCGGCCTGGTGACCTGACCTGAAATGACTGGGACCTAAAGTTCTCAGGAAATGTGTCAAATAGATGCCCCATATAAAGCATACCAAATTCTGCAGCGCAAGCCGTCGCCATTTTGCGATATCTGCAAAAAACGTTAGAGGTTTGCATCAACGCCCTTCCCGGCCCGACGAGGGTTAACCGGCGCCCCGCTGGGGGTCATGCATTTCCGCACCTTGCTGGGGGTGTTTGAACACCCCCCCTCTACCTCGGCTCCTGGGCCACATAGCGACACGCGGTAAGCGTCATTTGAAAGAAAGTCCAAAATAGGGACAGACTTGCTTCCGTCATTTTTTAGCTCAGGTCGAAGGTAATGTTCCCAGAGATAATCAAAGGTAAAATGCTGCCTATGTCAACCTTTTTTTTAAACAGAGGCACATATCTCAGATTTGACCTCAGGTTAACTGTTGTCTCAAGAGGACAAAAACTCGTAAAATAGCCGTTTAAAAAAATGTTTTTTTTTTTTTCAAAAACATTAACCCTATTAGTGGCAGGCTCCTGGCTACCCCCTATTAGTGGCAGGGGGGGGGGGGGCTGTTTACGACCCCCCCTTGATATCTCGAGATCTAACGGGCCGATTTTCAAAATTCAAACGGCATTCGATTTCGCTCAACGTGATCTACATTTCTAAAAAATAAAAATTAAAAAATGTCAATAGGGGGGGTAGAGGGGGGTAAAAACGGGCAAATTGCAGATACATTTTAGACTGTTTATGACGGCCAGGTTTCTGAACCAATCTTAACGAAACTTTTGCCGATCGATAGAGAATGAACCAGGAATTCACATGGATCCTAAAAATATGCATTTTCAAAAATCATAGGCGGATACAGATAATTGAGATTGGGGGTACACAAAAAGTATAGTAAATAAGGTTTTTGTTGGTACTGTTTCTAAAAAGGGTGGTAAAGGTCTTGTTATGTTATAATTTTCTTATGAGAGAACGACTAAAATTGCATTGGTAATGCATAGGCGGTGTCAGGGCACCTATGTTGGGAGGTAAAACATAACCCCCCTTTTTGGACGCCTGGATCCGCCTATTATAGCAAAAACGTGTCAAAAGAGGATGCACAATAACTGTATATGTTATCACATGTTACCTTTTATTCACTGTTCGTAAAACTGGTGCAGCATCTTGATCTTCGCCCAAATGACTCGCTTCACGAATAGGACCCCCCAATTCCCAGTGCTCTGGAGCCGCCCCTGGTAAAGTTATGAACTTGAAATTTTCAGGGAATGTGCCCAATTTAGTTTTAAGAAAAGTCAGAAAATTTCAGCATCGTAGCTTCAGCGGTTTCGGAGATATTCCCGAAAAACCTGAGGGGTGGATAAAAACAACCCCCCCTGCCACTAATAGGGTTAAACTCAAGCGAGTTACGACATTGCTTTTGCCAGCATCGTGTTCCTTGAATGAACTTATTGAACCTTGAAAGATCAACATGAAAATTTGATTCAGGTCAAGCTCAACCTGACCGGAAAAGGGCATGCTGCATATCAATCGATCCGCATCAAGTCGAACACAACTAAGGAGTTTTCATCCCTCTACTTTTTTTATACACCGCCACCGCATTATCAGGTGACCAGGAGTGACCCCTCCCTCTATCCCAACGACACACAGAACCTTACGTTAACACCACAAGGAAAATAATGAAGACAATTGTCGCGGCACTCCCAGCTAGGAAATGAAACAAACTCAAGGAAGCAAAAAACGAGAGACATTATCATGCTGTTAGTATAAAGGTGTAAGAGAAGGCATAGTAGTCATAACTGAAAACAGTTAGTGACTAGTTTCTAATTCCCAGGAGTATACATTCGTTCATACATCCACACAGGAGCAGTGTTAGAAGGATTCAGATGAAGGGAATCATGCATGCTGGGGTATTATAAGTACAAATCCGCTGGTCAGTGTTCAAGCTGGGTCATTTACTGAATCTCCGTCGTTTTGCCCAGCTAAAGCGAGGCTTGTTGCTGGGCAACCAACGCTCTACCATGCCTTTATCAGAAATTAACGAAAACCATATATTAGAGATGCCATTCATAACCTGAGGTGACTTCGGGGACAAAACGATGGGTCACAGGTGCCATTTTCCGGTTCTAGTGTGTCATGTTTACATCAGTAATTCAGTATTTGAAAGTGTTTAGAATGACGTTCGTCCAAAAGAAGTAAGTGCCTGTTGACTTATCCCTCGCCCATATATATTGGTGTTTTGAGAGCCGCGAACGTTTAAGGGGGGGGGGGGGAGGGGACTCCGTTGGACTGGTCACTGGACTTCCTTTGGCCGTTTGTCTCGTGATCGAGCTAGAGCTTTGCGAAAAATCGACTATGCGTGGTCCGTGACAAGTGGAAGACGATGGCACCCAATTTTAAGGTCCTAGGTCATTGGATGACCTTCCAGGTCAAATCAATTGCCCAAAAGTCGGGAAAATCAGGACCTGTTGGCTGTTACAACATCGTAAAGTGAGGTTATACTAAATGCTTTTTTCAGGATGCTGATCACGAATCCCCATGCGGTTTTTCGCATGGGGGCCTGGGGGGTGTTCAAACACCCCCCCCCTCGGCCTGGCGCGGGTTATAAGGCCCATGGTGAACTGACATAGCCCTCATATGATATGAGTGATATGAGTCATATCACTTCAGAGGACCCTCTAGTGGCCTTAGAGAGACCTCTGGGTGTTTGAGAGGTCACTTTGTTCGTTGGCCTAAGAGGGCCGTATTCTTGCTTCATACTTTTTATGTTTTTTTTTGCCTCTGGTGGCCTCCAAGAGCCCTTTTTGAGCTTTGAAGGTCCTTTTCGACCTCAGATATTTCTTCTGTCGGCCTCATAGGGCCCTGGTGGCCCGAAAAGGTCCCTTGGATATCACCTTGGAGGGCCTCTATTGCCCTCAGACGGCCCTCTGTCCGACTCAGGAGGCCCTTTTGCCTCCTCTGAGGACCTTTTTGATCTTTAAGTCCGGCCTCATAAGGCCCTGGTGACATAAAAGTGCCCCTGGCTGCCTGAGGATATTTTTTCGGCCTTACGAAGCCCTTTTTAATTAACCATCATGGTTCAGGGTGCCTACTACCTACTTTTCAGCATCTATATAATTGGTAGGCATAAGTGGTGACAGTCATTTCGTTTTATTAGTAATATATATTTTTTAGGCTCCAGGGGATCCTAGGACCCCCAGGATCCCTCTTTGGATACGCCCCTGACCTGGTCAGCGTTTTTTAATGCTAGCCATGATCTTGGTAGGAAAGTGCGCAGCTCATTTTCACCCATTGAATTGTATTTGCATTTGCATTTGTATTTACTACAAGCACCCACAGGCAAACGCCCTTATAACAGGTGCAGTCAAAACAGTACATAAAATCATAAGCAAGATGAGGTGAAAACACAAACGATTCACAACACTGTAGTTAAAAGCACGGCACATAGGTGGGTATCTACTATAAGCAACACTAAAAAGAAAACAAGCTAAAAGTATACACTAAAAGGAAACATGCTAGTACACACCGGCGGCCTGTAGGTATTAAGGTCGAAGTTGAAGAGGTTGAATGTTGAGAGTTTGAAAGGTGACCAGCCTCAGTTCCTATCAAGCATCAACTTACCATCAGCCAAAATGCGAAATGCAGCTGAGACAAACCTCAACCGGAACATTCCTATGTCCTTGGGGAGCCGTCGCGCCGGTCGTATAAAAGCTCCGGGCGATGAGGGCAGCTACAGTCTCTCTCGATTCGGACAAAACACCAGAGCTCCTCTCACCGTGACATGAAGCTGGTAAGTAGCGCCTCTGGCGGTGGTAGAGAGAAGCACCACCAGTGTCCGATCTCCGACAGGTGACAGCATATGTCAGGTTAGGACGAGCGCCTGTTGCTTGAAGCATATATGTCTTGCAAAATTCGATCAGCAGCTATCAATAGCAACACTTCTTTTAAAACATCACACAATGTCAGTGTGTTTGAAGTTTTGTACTATTGACGACATGTGTCGAAGTGTTACGAACAAACCTGTTCCGTTACAAATCTGTTCCGTTCTCAGGTTGCGCTGTTCGCCGTTGTGGCCGCGGCTGTTGCCGCCCCTCAGGACCAGCCTCAGGTCAACATCATCAGCCAGACCTTCGAACAGGACGAGCAGGGCAACTACAAGTACGCCTACGAGCTCGACAACGGACAGAAGGTGCGTAGAAGATCTACGTTCTAAAAAAGAAAAATGGAGAAGCGCTCAAGCACAAGTCCACCGCACTTGTCAGATGGCTCTGTTTATGATTGTGAAGCAATGCTTTGAATTTTGTTGTCATTTTTTTCTGGTAAGTACAACATTTCTATACAGTGATGGAAACTCCATTTTTGTAAAACGGTCTCGTTCTTATGTATATTCCTTTTTTCTTGCAGGCGGACCAGGAGGGGCGCGTTCAGCCCGGCCCGGAGCCTGAGACGGGATCCATCGACGTCCAGGGCTCCTACGCCTTCCTCGCCGACGACGGCAACACCTACTCGGTGTCGTACCGGGCCAACGAGGGTGGCTATCAGCCTGAGGCCGACTTCCTGCCGGTGGCTCCTTCTCAGATCCCCGAGTACGCGCAGCTGCGCCAGGAGCACCCGGAGCTCTTCTGGGCCGAGACACAGCAGTAAAATCCTATATCTTGTTTCATTGTTCCGCTTATAGTTCGCCAACGAGCCAGCCAATGTGATATTGTTGTGATGTTTGCGATTGATGAAGAAAGGTTCGTACACTTTATACGATATTATTAACATCACCGTGGTGGCAAATCGTGTTCCTAGGAGTGCTAATATGGCGCCCTTATGTATGTACGTGATTGTGATGTAAATATAAGGTAAATATAATTACATTTCCTATCATGTTCGCACCTATCCTGACAATCTGAAGTCCCAGTCTTTTCAGGCCAGGTCACCAGGTCACAAAAACCGGTACAAGGTCAGGGGAAAATTGGACTAGCTTAGCGGCAACTGAGTTCCAGAGTTCACTTTAATTGGTAACAAAGTATATCATTCGATGCGCACGGACGTCCTGAGTTCATTGGTGCTTTCATGTTTTGCTCTGTCTTTACTGGGTAGAAAGTTATAAGCGAAAAACTTTTGACATTTTTTTCATACAAAAAAAAAACCATAAATATTGACTTAGAGTCCCCAAACTTTCACAGGGGCGAGATCTCATATGGACCCACCTACCCTGTAAATTTGGCGTTCCTAAGTGGCATAGGTGCCAATCGCCAGGGGGAGGGGCGTACCAACCCCCCTCGCCATCTGTGTTATGGAAAAGGCCCTTGCCTGGCGATGTTTAACTCTCGCGGGCCCGGGGGGGGGGGCGTTTTCGCCCCCCCCTGGCGAATATTTGCGATAGCTCCCGAACGCTTAGGGATAGGAAAGCAAAACTTTCAGTACCTTTTCTCCCATCCATGTAACATCTTCTGAAGTAAAAAATTGGACCTAGCCCTCTTGATGACGTCCCAGGGTCGATTTTTCTAAACCCCTGCACGGCGATCTTCGGCGTCACAGACGCAAACTTCAAATAGCTGCTAAAAATAGAGTTTTAGAGATAAAGACAAATTACAAGCGCGGTTGTGTGGCATTTTACCTAGAGATAAATAGAAAAAAAAATATTTTTGGTGACCTGAGGTCAGAGGTCAGGTCAACGACCCCGAAATGTGGTTTTAGTCTTTCGTGAATAGCTTCGACAAAAATGGCCCTAGAGCTACGGCAGTGGTACCATCGCATTTGCCTTGTCAAGCGGCGTCGAATGATATATATTTTGTTTGGAAAAGGTAAACTGTTATGTTGACCTCATGTGACCTCAAATGACCTTTGGTTGACCTTGACACATGAAAGGTCGTTTATGATGGATTCGTACCCGCTGATCACGAATCTGTCATCTACTTGCCTCTATTCCTTCATTTAGAACCTCCGGATGGCAAATTTGTCTTTTTTACTATTACTAACTTGAGTCAGCGAAAACAACTCTAGCAAGGATAGTCTTCTGTGACCTTGACCTTTGAGCAGCCTTGCATCGTAAGATGAACTACAAATAGGGACCTGATAGGGGAGAGTGGGGCAATGGCGACACCATAAGCATTTTGCTCAATAGCTTAGCTATTTGAAGCTATTTTATGGTGATTTTGACTGTGGTTATAGCCAAAGGAATAGGCTTTCAGATAGCACCCAGTTTTAGTGAGAATTAAGAAACGACAACTGTATTCAGCAGTTAACAGTACACTGCACTGCAACACAACACTGCACTCGCTGCAACACAACAGCGCGGCGCCAACAGAGCAGCAAACTAACACAACCGTAAACACAGCAAGCAAACTAATACAGCCGTAAACACAGCAACCCGAAACGTTGAGCTTTAACGACAGAAGTCGCAAACAAAATCGCGTGGAGTCATTCCGGACACGTGTCCGGTATTACCCCAAGGTCAGCTTTATTTTAAGAAAGCAGGCAGCAGTCAAAGGCATTGCGCCGCAAACGCCTCACATCCAGCAGTCGCCTAAGAAACGCTTAATTGAAGGTCATTGCAAAGCAGCACTTCTGAAAATGCGTTAACACATTTCACAGTCAGCAAATAGATGCAACAAAAATTAAAAATCAGATACGAAAAACACATTTAACGCTATAAAAATGAAAATAATGGAGCTACCGTGACAAACTTGCACCACGTGCTAGAATGGCACTCAACTGAAATGTAAACAACATCAGCTGATTATTGATGGACAAAGTACTCACTAGAGATGGGTGGCCGGCATTACCCACCGTCCGCCATTGCCCCACTCTCCCCTAAGCGTCAAAACATTTCAAAACATCTTGGAACATATCACGTAAGATGTACGAAAAAGTGCAAAGTTTGACGTCAATTTTGAGCATGACTTTGACCTTGACTTTTATATTTGAGCACATTTTCGGAATTATCAGATTCTCTTCTTTCGTTTGACACTCAATCTTGCCGGATTTATGCATCCTGCCGTCCTCTAAAACGCTATCTTTGAGATCAATACACATGTGCCGGTTTTTGCCTTTGACCTTGACCTCCGACCTTGAAAATTGACCTGAGGTCAAAAATTTTAGGTGCTTTAGAATCGTCTCGTAAGGATCTTTCGTTTGGTATAGGTTTTGTTTCCGTAGCTCATTTATTTACGGAGCTAGACACGGGGTCGAAAAGCGCCCCCCCCCCCCGGGCTGCGGTGGTTGGGACTACCCCCAGGCCCGGCCGGGTTAACCCGCGCCCCACTGGGGGGGGGGGGGGGCTATTTATAGCCCCCTCCCTCCCGTTTTTCTGCAATAACTTCCAAACCGCTTGACGTATCAACGCCAAACTTTCAGTACCTTTGGCTGCATCAATTTGACACAAGGTGTCAAAATTTGAACTTCGTAGCTACCATAGGTCGGCCGAAAATGACGTCAGAGTGACGTCATGTTCGGCCGATTTAGACCGAAAACATCGAACCACGGCAATCGCTCTCAAGGGCTCAGTTTTTAAGCTAGATCCAATTTCTTTGCATGAGAGGACTCAGAATAGACTGCGCTATCAAACTGCTATCTCGGATTTTCGGAATTTTGAAAATGTCGAAAATTTTATATAATAAAATTCAAAATTTACATTTTTACATTAAAAAAAAAAGTTTTTGACTTTTCGAAAAACCGGAATATATGTGATAGAACGCGTTATTATGACTATCTCTAGCAAGTTTTAGCTAAATATCTTCGAAAATGGCCAAGTTATACGCATTATTGCAAAAAATTCACAATTATTAATTTTTCAACTCACTTTTTCACCACGTATTTGACATCGCACGCCAATATAAATAGCACCATCGTTTTCCTGAGCTCAAACTGCATCCAATAGACACCTTTTCTGTTGAAAAATTATAACTTCAAAATTTGACCTTTTTTGACCTAAAAGTGACCTGACCTAGGCTAAATTCGACTCAAAATGACCTCCAATGACACAGACGACATCAAATTAATTCGAAATCTTTGGCCTAAATGGACCATAAATCATGTGTCACGTGACCGACGCATGATATAATATTTTCGTGATCTGTGATGACCTGACCTTGACCTGAAAATCAAAGTACAAGTTTGGTACCCCCAGGGTATCTAGAGCATCTGTTCACGAGTGTGTGAACCAGAAATGAGCCTGATCTGACTTGTAAGACGGCGGCCAGAGCCCAAAATGCTAATAATTTTTACTTTGACCTGACCTGTGACGTCATCGGTGACCTCGAGGTTAATTAAATTAGATTTCGCTCGACAGTTTTTCCGGGGCTATTAGACGCCGTTTGAATTTTGACGATCGCCCCAGTAGTTTCGGAGTTAGGAGGGGGGCTATGAATAGCCCCCCCCCCTCCAGTAGGGCGTGTTATACGCAGACCCCGTGGGGCGCGGTTAACAAGTACGATCTGGTGAATGCCTTCACAATGCTCAATCTAACCACTAACTAACCAATGCCATTGGTTGTATCGAAATCAGTCTTATGGTTCTCGAGAGCTCAGGGAAGGAGGCAACTTGGCTGTGATTGTGCAAAATGTGCACATCATAGTCCGTCGCGCCACAGCGCTCAGCACGGTACGCTGAAAATCCCTCACTCATTCATAAATCTTCCTATGCCTTACGTGGATGAGAAATGGGCTAATTCCAAGCATCACTTCAGTAAAGTGCTTCTCTCTCTCTCTCTCTCTCCTCTCTCTCTCTCTCTCTCGTCTCTCTCTCTCTCCCTCTCTCTCT